CGCAGGCGGAAGCGCCGGCGGCGGCGGGTCACGGTCGGGCTGCGGCCGTGACGAATTAGCCGGGCGCGCGCGGGGGCCGCGGATCAGGCGGCGGTGCAAACTGCAGCCCAGGGAGTCTGAGAGAACAGCCACCCAGGAAGCAGGGAGGACGCAGCCAAAATGGCGCGACGCACATCCCCAGTCATGGATCGTGTCGGTCCGACAATCACATGGTAGCGGGAATCAGTCTCCGTGCAAGAAAGGTATCAGAGAGCCCAGGGTGTCTGTCGGGTATGAGCGAGACCGTAGGCATAAGAGCTGACGTCGTCCAGCAGGGAGAAGAGTTTCTGACAGCGCCAGCGAACCGTCGCAACTTCAGAAAACGCATCCAGCGGCTGACAGGGTACGCCTGAAGTCATAGACAACCGGAGTCAACCTCAGAACAACTGCGGAGGGATGCGTCTGCACGCGAGAGATCAACGACATGAGGTGACGCAGTGCAGGGGTACACCTGCACCCGACCTTGAGAGAGACACGTCGGTCAGTCGAGAGTGACGGGGCGTGTACCAGAAAGCAACTAAGTGACAAACAAAGAGCGGCTCTCCACCCACGCAGAGGGGCCAATAAGAGGAAAAGGCGCTCAGAGAAAGCGACGCTGCCGCATACCCACTGCAACAAAAGCAATCCGTAGTCACGAAGTCCCAGGGAGTGGCCGCTCAACCAGGTTGAGCGTGGGAGCGACGATGGGGAGACGTCAGTGCGCACCGACCCTCGCGGCGAGCGGTGCACCACTAGCCACTGAATAGCACACCAGGGCCAACCGCTGCAAGACTGCGAAGTCATGTACGGGAGCCCGCCTGCGACCCAGTCAGAGAACGGTTTCAGCGGACCAGGTGGGCAATCCGCCGTCGCGGCGGGGCGACCCACGTCAAAAGACCGTCTGAACAACGTGAGACCCACTGACGATGAGTCCAAGCCCAGGGTCGCTCCCAGGGAAGGTGGAGAAGCGCGGATGAAGGCCGAAGTAACTTGGGGAAACCCAGGGAGTAGAAGCGCGGTTCTGGGTGTGACGAGGTGAAACCACCATTGCGTCGGACGCAGAGCCGCGGGCCGGGACGAGCCTGGCAAGGTGAAAACAGCTACAGCGGGGCCAGGGGCCACTATGTCCACACGCAACACGTGGTGTTGCAATGCAGACGGTATTGCTGGTACACACACTTGGGTCCAAAGGCACGTACCAGGGAGGGCGGCGGGATGCCGCCGCCCTCCCTGCTGGTGGGGATTCGCGAAACGTCAAGAATTACTCCGGGTTCGCACTTCCATTGCCACGATCCCTTTAAATCATGCTGCGTCCGCGATCCCTTATACATTACGCTGCGTCTGCGCTTCCGAAGCCCCAATTCCTTGCAAACCGCGCTGCGTCCGCGCTCCGAAGGCGACGATCGATTGCACATTACGATGGGCTCGCGCTCACACGGCCATGAACCTTCGCAAACCACGCTGGCCCCGCGCTCCCAAGGCCACGATCCCGCGAAACTTCTGCCGGGCCCGCGCTCCTAGGACCACGATCCCTTTTATCTGGCGCTGCGCCCACGTTCAGGACCACGACCCTCTGCAAATCCCACCATCCCTTTCGGGCTCAGGTGGTTTGGGACGTTTCCTCTTCCAGCTCCCCTTCCTGACCGTCGGGGAGGGTTTCGCCCCTCCCCCCTGCCTCTCTCCCCGGGTCTGCGCGGGAGGGGCCGCGACCCATCGGAGCGTCCAAGATGGCTTCGGCGAGAAAGCATCAGTTTCTGATCTTCGTCGTCAGGTTTTGGGTCAACGTTAGCCTCCTGGGGGGACGACCCTGTAGGACCCACATTTTTTGAGCAGTAGCCTCCTGGATGACCCCAAGGTGGCCCGAACAGCTTTCAAGAGGACTCCAGGAGGCCCCCAAGAGGCCCACCCACAGGCATTCACGACACTCCAAGAGGCCCCCCCAGAGCCAGCAAGAGGCACCCATACGCCCCAAGATGCCTCTAAAAGGTCCTCGGGAGGCCTTCCAAGAGACCCAAGGACGCATCCAAGGGGCCTCTGGCCCACACGGGCACCCGACATCTCCAAATGATGCCACGCTCCCCCTTTCAGTGCAGCTCCACTGGGCATCGTGTCTGGCTGGGCTGATGCGGATACGCGAAAGCGTTAGCAATTACGCGCATGGTCCGCGCTGCCAGTGCCTCCTTGGCGCCCAGGGCTTTCCTGGGGCCTCCGCACAATCAATTTTTTCTGATTTCCAATGAAACCAGTTGCTTACATCGGCGCACCCGTCACGAAGATTCTGCGCAAAACGCTCCGCACTACGTTGTTTTACGACGGTAAGCAGGGGTCTGCGACCCTATTCTTGATCAAATATCTGATGCGGCGGGCGCGCGTTCCTCGAGCGGGCACGCGCGAAACGCACGTGCTCGACCAACAACCAGCCATTGTCATGTTTTTATAGAACAATTCGCGGGAGCGGCGCGAGCATGGCACCGAAGGGACCATCTCATGAGGGCGCGCCGCTGGATGTCCCCAGGGGGGTGGGCGGGGGGTTTGGACCCCCCCCCTTTCCCCGATCCGTCGTCGGGGACCCCCCCCCTTCCCCCCTTTCCCGTTCCGTCGTGGGGGTTTCCCCCCCCCCCCCCCCTTCCCCCCCTTCCTGGTCCGTCGTCGGGACCCCCCCCCTCCTCCTCTTTGGCTGCCAAATTCGAACACCCCCCGTCCCCCCCTTTTCGCCACGGCGCCGCCGGTCTCAGGAACCCGACCCCTACCACCCCTAGCACTAATCCTCACCCTTGCCCTAGCCCATAAACCGAACCCCAAGTCCAAACCCTAGCCCCAAACAGTACTCACTACTCATTACGCGCTACTCACTACCCACAATTCACTACTCGCTACTCACTACTCACTTCTCACTACTCACGACTCACTACTCAATACCCACGACTCACTACCCACTACCCACTACTCACTACTCCCTACTCAGTACTCACTACTCACTGCAAACTATTGACTACTCACTACTCAATATTCAGTACTCACTCAACACAACTCACTACCCACTACTCACTAATCACGAATCACTACACACTACCCACTAACCCACTACTCACACTTCACTACTCACTACTCACTGCCCACAACTCCCTACTCGCTATCCACTGCTCGCTACTCGCTACTCGCTACTCCCTACACAGTACTCACTACTCACTACTCGCTACTCCCTACGCCCTACTCGCTACCCAATACGCACTATTCACTACCCACTACTCACTATTCACTACGTTCTCACTACTTCCTACTCCCTACTCCCTACTCACTACTCCCAACTCACTACTCCCAACTCACTACTCACCACTCACTACCCAGTACTCAATTCTCACTACTACTACTACTCACTGAACACTACTCACTGCCCACTACTCACTAAGCACTACTCACTACCCACTATCCACTACTCACTACTGAACACTCACAATTCTCTACTCACTACGTACTGCCCACAACTCACTACTCAATATCCGCTACTACCTACCCAATACAACATATTCACTATCCAATACGCAGTACTCGCTACTCACTACTCACTATTCCCTCCTCCCTACTCGCTAGTTCCTAGTCGCAAGGCGCTACTCACTACTCAATACTCACTACTCACGACTCACTACCTCGTTACTCTCTAATTTATATTCGAAACGCCCTATTCACCACCCACTACTCAACACCCACTTCTCGCTTCTGTCTACTCACTACTCACTACTCACGACTCCCTACTCACTACTCCTACTCACTACTCGCTACTCCCTGCTCGCTACGCACTACTCCTTACTCACTACGCATTACTGGCTCCTGACTACTCCCTCCTCACTACTCACTACCCACAACGCCCTACTCGTTACTCACTACTCGCCACTCCCTACTCGCTACTCCCTACTCGCTACTCACCATTCACTACTTACTACTCTCTACTCACTACACACTACGCACTACTCACTCCTCGCTATTTTCGACTCCCTGATCCCTACTCCCTGCTTACTACTCACTACGCACTACTCACTATACACTACTCGCCCCTCACTACGCACGATTCCTTACTCACTACTTCCCTCCCGCTACTCACTACCCACTACTCACTACTCACTAATCTCTACGCACTACTCACTACTACCACTACCCATTACCCACTACTCACTACTCGCGGCTCACTGCGCACTACTCACTATCAAATACCCACTATTCACCAATCGCGACTCAAAACATTCTACTCTCTACTCACTACCCGAGAAGCCCCCTCCTCAGCCTCCTGTTCGGCGCAAAGGGGGGGAGGGGGTGGGGTTTGAACCCCCCCCCTCCCTTTCCAGCGCCAAGGGGAGGAGGGGGCGGGGGGTCCGGATCACCCCCTCCCCCAAGGGGGGGGGAAGGGGGGGGGGGGTCGAAAATCTCACGCCCCCTTTGAAGGGGGGGAAGGGGGGGGGGTTTTGCGAGCATCCCACCTTTTGTGTAGTCAGGGACATCCACTGGCGCGCTTTCCCATATCATTACATGCTAGAACAAAGCCCTGGGCCCACGCCCGCTCCGGGAACCACTGCTGAGATCTCTTGGGGTGTGGGTGTGCCTCCGCCGCCCGCCGCCGAGGACCAGATACACGTGTCATTTCCTCGGAAACGATACCCTTTTCGGGACGCCTCCTCCTCTTCCTCCGCCTCCTCCTCCTCCTCCTCCTCCTCGAAACGATCGCTTTCGAAAACGATGCCTTTCCTCGTCGATGGGAGGCCTGGAGGACCTCATCATCCGCCCGATCCTCACAGCCAGACTGTCGGGTGTTGCCAAAGGCGTCCCTGGCCCGCGGCGTTCCTGGGACTGCCGAGGAGGCCACGTTGGCCTTCGGAGCACCCCTCACGAGGCCCAGGATGCCCCAGGGGCCCCGACGTGGTGCGAAGAGGTGGGGGCACCTTCGGGCCGGTACCACTTCTGGCAACACCCGAGACTGGGGCGCCGTGCGCCTTGCTGTACGCTCGCATGCTGTACTGCTCCATGGTGTCCTCCTGCGGGCCGGGGCGGCGAGGTGCAATCGCCCAGGCCGCTTGGCGGAGGTCGGCGCTGAGTGAGCTGACGCGCAAGCTTGGGCAGGGGATCGAGCGGAACCAAGGACGACCGACGACGGCGGGACGACGCCCCGCCACAACGCCGCGCTGCGAGGCCACGCTGCGAGGCCACGCTGCGACGCTGCGCTACGACGCTGCGCTGCGACGCTACGCTGCGACGCTACGCTGCGACCATATCACGGTTGTTCGCAAACCATGTTACGGTTGTACAACATGTAGGCATGTCATGGCATGGTTTGAACCCCTCATCGGACGACAACATCGACATCCACATGAGCGAGGCCGCTCCCGGGTGACACAAGCAGAGGTTATACGCGAGACCGTGGAAGAGGGCAATCGGGAGAAGAGCAGTGGCGGCGAGCGGACCGAGAAGGGAGACGCGAAAGCGACTGACAGCCGAAGCCTGGGAAAGAACAAGAGTCGGGAAAGTGAGGCAGGGCTGGATGAGGAGTTTTTTTTTTTTTTGCCAGGGCGCTCCATTTGTTCTGCTGCTCTCAGTACTGGACCGCGGGATAGGGCCCGAAGTGATCAATGCGGAGCATGATGGGGGCGGCGGAGGAAGAGAATGACTGGGAGGAGGTGGACTGGGAATTCGCGCGACTTCACTCATATCCACGATGCGTTAAAGAGGAGGGTGAGAAAGGCGATGCAGATGCTGACGATGATACTTGGGGGGGATAGCAGGAGGGGGAGAAGCACGAGGAATCAAGTCCTCGCGCCCTCCGTTCTGCGCCAGCCTGTCCAAAAAATGCCATGGTATCCAACCACGACGCGTTCCGATGCATTCAAAACCGCTGGGGAGCTTGCAAGACAGTGGTCGCGCAGCCTTTCTTCCCAACTCCTCCAGCTCCTCGTCTTGCGCGATCTTCCCCCGCATCCTGCTTCTCCTCCTGTGTTGCCAAGTGGAGTCTGGGAAGGACGACGGACATGTTCCTCCCGCAAGAATTGAACTGGTCACCTGCTGGAAAACGTATGCGGTAACAACTGCAGAACCATGCTCTTCCTCCTTTCTCCTCCTCCTCCAACAGCGTTGCTAGAAAGACCTTCGAAACTGAACGGCGGTGGGCATTGCACCCACTCAGGCCGCTTTGCAGCGGTCAGCGCTGATTAAATAGGTGCATGTAAGGGCCGTTTGGAATCGAGCGCTCTCAAGAGCAAGGATTCGGTGACAGTAGACGGTGAGAAGGGGAAAGGGGACATCTGACAACAGGGGAGGCAGGGGCGGGGAGCGATGGGACGAGGACGAACTAGATGTGCTCGCACCGTATCGGACATCTCACCCCTCCCAAACAACCGCCCCTTATCGTTGCGTTGATTCTTCTTTGTCCGCTGACGGGTGACATCGCAGATCTGGTTCGCCCAAAATGACCCCTATCGCGTTGTGCGCAAGCAGAAAAGGGAATTGCGCACATTGAAAAAGGGGTGGTCGAATTGGCAGATGGGCACGAGGATGAGGAGGAAGAGGAGGAGGAGGACCAATGTAACCCAAAACGCATCAGCGCTATTACAATAAACCCTCCCTCCAGACTCCCTCTTCATAACCTCGTACACGGGTTCGCTTCACTTAAGAAATATGCCCCCTTGGGAAACAATCGTCCGAACATCCGGAGTTGCGCCAGAACGCCATGCCTGGGATTTCAACGTCGCAAATCACCTGTACTGTTGCGTCTTGACGATCGAGAACCGTGCCAGACTACCGTTCCTGGGACTTCGACACAATGAATCAACGTGTCTGTTGTGCCCTGACATTCCGTCGCCTTGCCAAAACACTATTTCTGGGACGTTGATCATGAACATTCTTGAAGCTGTTTGCAAGCTGCGCGGCGTTAAAGCGAGAACCATACATTTGTAAAGTAACGTCTCTCTATGTGTGAAACCCTTGCGGACTTTTGAAACCAATGTGCGCGGCGCTAAGGCAAGAACCACATGTTGAAAACGGGCCGCCCTCCATCCGTGCAGCTGTTGCAAAAGATTGCGACGAATGTGCGCGGCGCTACAGCGAAAACCAACTTTTGGAAACGGACTGCCCTCCATCCGCGAAGCCCTTGCAAATGTTGAAAACGAATGTGCGCGGCGCCAAGGCGAACACCACATTTTGAGAACGGGCCGCCCTCCATCCGCGAAGCTGTTGCAAATTGTAAGCTTCAGGACTACTAGTGGAGAGAAAGCCTCAGGCAGAACGCCCGGCCCGCCTTTCGTCTGGCCTCGGGTTGCGACGGGGAAGAGTTATCTATCAGGAACAGGAATGGAGGAGAAGGAAACGGGGCCGCAACAGCAGGAGCAGGGGTAGGAGAAGCGGGGGGAGCTGGAGGACCAAGGGGATGTGCAGGAGGGGAAAGGGGGGCCCCAACGACGAGAAAAGACTCCGATCCAGAGTTCAGGCTCGCGCTGGGGCGAGAGCGCCATTCTGAATGCCAGGTGTAAGCCGCCAATCCTGACGTGAGGCCAACACTGCAGCGGGAACACTATCTTGAAACACTGAAAAGGATCGGATGAAAAAAAAAACACGCAGAAAATATCAACATCTGGAATCCCGTGTTTAAGCAATACGCGGAGAGGGCGGAATATCTTCCGGACACAATCGGGGGAGAGATGGAAGTCGCACCCATGAAGAATACTTGTAAAACCCCGGGCAATCGAGGCCACGCATCGGGCTCTGCCTGCTGCCTCACTCGGCCTGCTAATAGAGTGAGGCTGGTAGTTGCGCCAGCAGCGCGCGGCAGAACGTGTCAGCTTGCTGTGAAGAGGCCGCACCAGTGCCCGCCATGTGCAGACCGGCGCCGGCGGAAAAGTGCCGGCGCTCGCCCCGACATCCGGGATGCTGGAGCTGGTGCCTCGGGGGCGTGCGCCGCCACTGGTCCGAAGCGGCTTGCGTTCTCCTCGCTCCGTGCTCTGCGAGCGCCACTGGCGTCGGCGCGTGCCCCCGCGCGTCCAGGTGCTGGGCGAAATGTTTTTTTTTGCAATCCTTCGTTCAAATGGTTTCTTTTGCAATCATGTTTTTTTTTTTTTTTTTTTTTTTTTTTTTCAATCCTTGGTTTTTTTGCAGCTCTTCTGCGGCACACGCCCGGGCCCTGCGCTTCGCACGCGGTCGCGGCAGGCTCGACCCGTCGCCCAGATATCGCCGCGGCTCTCCTGCGGTGCTTCCCCGCGCGGCGCCTCGCGGCTCCACGCCTCTCGGGCCAGGTCGGCGCGCCGGGCCACGCGCCAAGGGCCCAGCTCCGCCCTGTCTTGCCGGGCGCTGCCAGGAGTGCCCCTGGCCCAAAAGGCGCCGCCAGGATCTCCAAGGAGGCCCCCCTACGGCCTCCAGAGCACCCCTCACGAGGCCCAGGGGGCCCCCATGGGGGCTCCCAAATGGAGCGAAACGCTGGGGGCACCTTGGGCCAGGGGCACCTTTAGCGACCCCCGACTGTTCGATGATGCGGAGCTCTAGGGCGGGCGCTTCTTGCTTCGCTGAGTCGCCCGTGCTCTTCATTCTCTCTTGCACTTCCTCGGGAATAGAGAGGCCTGCTGACGACGCCGCCGCCGCCGACGCCGCCGACGCCGACGCCGCCGCCGACGCCGACGCCGCCGCCGACGACGACGACGCCGACGCCGACGCCGCCGACGCCGACGCCGACGACGGACACTTTCTGGCTGTCTTCGGGCCTCTGGGGGCCCTCGCTTGGCCCTGAGGCCGTCGACGAAACGACTCAGGATGAGAAGAGCTGGCCTCGGGGAACTGGTCGGGACCTCCGGGAACCCCGTGCTGAAGAAGGCAAAACCTCGAGTCCCTGGGGATGGAGGCCCGGGCGCAGAGATGGAGGCCGCGGGCGTGTCTCCAGACGGCCTGGCGTCGCCAGGCCGTGGCCACTTCCACCTGGGCCTGGGCCGCTGCGAGGTGGTGGGTCTCGCCAGCGACGCAGTGCCTGGGGTCTCCTGTGAGCTTCTTCGTCTGTCGCCACGAACTGAATTGCGTGGGATGCAGTCTGGCTTCGTCTGCGGCCTCTACGCGGGTGGACCCTTGGCGACGACGACGAGGCCGACGCGTCGCTGAGGAGCCGGCGCTCTTGATCGCGAGCCCCGTGCGCTCCGTTTTCAGAGGATGCCCGTGACCAACCTCAGCATGCAGGGCGTCGACGCCGGAAAACTTCGGTGAAGGGGTGCAGGAGAAAGCGTGATCGCGGGAGGCACTCCGAGCACGAACAGCCGCATGGGACCAGATCGTGGCGGGGCGATGGCATCAAAGCTCTCACGTGTCAAGGGGGCGCGCATTGCGCCCAGGCTGACCAGGGCGACGCTGGTGCGGATGCGGCCCATGCGACAACGCCCGCAGCCGCATGGGACCAGATCGTGGCGGGATGGCATCAAAGCTCTCCTGTGTCAAGGGGGCGCGCAGTGCGCCCAGGCTGACCAGAGCGACGCTGGTACGGGCGCGGCCCAGGCGGCAACGCCCGCAGGACGGCTCGGCGAGATCAGCGACCACTGCGCTCCGAGTGCCCCGCCTCTTGTGGCCCCGGCGGGGCGCCTGCGATACCGGGGGGCCGCTGCGGGCACGGGCCTGCGGCCGGCGGCGGGGTGGAGACTGAGGAGGCCTACCCCCTGCCAGTGGCGTGCGGTGTCTTTTGGCGGCGCGCACAAGGGGGGTGGAGGGAGGGGGGGAGGGCTTCTCAAGAGGAGGCTGCTTCTTAGAAGGCGCCGGCTTCCGGCCACCGCTCGGGCGTCCATTCCCTGTGCTTTTTCGGTTTCGTGCTGTGGCTTTTTCGCCGGATGATCCAGGATGCTCCTTGATAATCCCCGCCGAGAAAAGTACACACGTCCGAGCGATACCAAGGCTTTACATCTATAGACGAGGCTCGCGCCTTCTACGAAGCAGAGGTGCTTCTAAGAAGCCCTCCCCCCTCCCCCCACCCCCCTCTGCGCGTGGCTGGGTCCTGGGAGGCCCAGCCGGGGAACTGCACAGG